GGGCCCCCGGAGCCCGGCGTGCGCAGCCTGCACCCCGCGCGGCGGGCGGCCGACGTGGCCGCGCTCGAAGGCGGCTTCTCGCGCCTCGCCTTCAGCGACGACTCTGGGCCCCTCGGGGCGCCCCCTCGGGACGCCGGCCTCGCGCCCCGGCCGCGCCGTCCAGACTGGGGGGCGCCGGGGGCCTCGGCGTCCCCGGGAGCCCTGCCCGGCCTGCTGAGCCCCCAGGTCGGGCCGAGGGGGGGCCACGGCCCCGGGGCCCCGCACAGTGATCTCCCCCAGCGCAGGAGGCCCGCCGAGCCGCGGGCCCTCCAACAAGGGACCGGCCGGTTCCCGGGCCGCTCGGCCTGGGCGGAACGCAGCTGGGGCGACGGCGCCTTTGGGGGACCTTCGGGGTCCCCGCCTCCTTCCGCTCCCGGCGAGGTGGACGCGCGTGCCCGGGCGCGCATCGCGCTTTGCAGCATCTTCCCGCCCCACCAGGTGGACAGCGTCATGGCCCTGTTCCCGGCGCTCTCCGACGTCACCCGGCTCATCCTTCTCATCCAGAGATTCCAGACGTCTGGGGCTCCCGTGGGGAAATCCTAAGGAAGTCGTCCAAGCCACCGGAAGTCCCAATCTTGCCTTGCCCCTTGGTCAGGGCGGGTGGTCGGCCTGCCCCTGGGGCGAGCCACCCTGCAGCCCTCTTTTCTTTCAAGAAGGTCAGGGAAGCCGGCTTCCTCACCCTCAGCAGCACCCATGGTGGCACTTGATGACCCTCACTGACACTGCAGGGCTTGCTGCTGGAGGTCCGTGTCCTGCAGAATAAGGCTGGCCACATCCATGGAGGAAGTGGCCTCCTATGTCTGGAAGACTAGAAGGTCCCATGACGGCTCCAGGGGTTTGTCCAGAACACTGCATGGCTGTTTTGTCAACCTGCATTTGGGATCCACGAGTGGGTCACAACGTCAATTTAGTGGGGCACACCAGAAGGAGTGGTGTCGGAAATCTCAGAGCACAGGCCACATGACCAAGCTAAGTATGAAACTCTTGTATGTTAGCTACACGTGTGTGCACCTGTGTGCCCTTGGTAGCCGTGCAAACTTAACGTGGGTCATGGGCAAAAGTTTGAAAAATCCTGGTAAATGGCTTTGGCTTTTATTGCATCACGTGACATCTGAAATACGTAGTCAGTTGACTGGTGGAGGTCTTGGCATCTGATAGGTTTCATATCAGCTGTTTCTTACCTCATGAGAGGAACCTAGAATTCTAGCCTTGATGGGTGGGTCCGCTTGTCACTCTGTGTGGTTGGAGGTGGGGCAGGGGCACATGGTCTTGAGGGCAGAGCACAGATCCGCAACTGGTTGAGCCTTCTAAGTCACACCTCACTCCTGAGTCAAGGCCCAGTGAGTCAGGACTTGTGCTCAGAAACCTGCAGGTGGGTCAGTGAAGAGCTGGGATGAGCCTCAGTCATGGGGGTTTATCGCCACCTTCCACCAGTGCTGTTTCTTCCAGCCAGCTACTGCTTTGAGTTTTGGGGAGGAGGGACCCACCTGCTTGCAGTGGACAGGACATGAGACTGCTTGCGGGGTGTGAACCCTGCGTCCTCAGGGGCCCTGGCATCTCTAGTGGGCATCCACCCATTCACTCTGGGTTACAAGTCCAGATGTGCAGGTCTTAGCTCATTTGTTCGTGAGGACCCTTGGTGGCTTGGCCATCAGGGAGAATGTGAGGCACCTCCCAGTGGAAAATCAGCTCCCATCCCCCAAAAGCTTCCTGCAGACTGGCGAATGCAAAGGGAAACTCTTCTCAGAGCATCGTTCAGCTGCATGCATTGTGGACACAGAGCAGGGTGCACCCCTGGGACCCTGGGAGAGTCTGCTTCTAGCCCTCTAGTTCATGGTAAATGCCGCCAGTGGAGGTACAGTGACGCTGTGTCTCCCTGTGACCCCTTTGACCTTTTTTTTTTTTTTTTTTAAGTAGGCTTCATGCCCCATGCGGAGCCCAACTTGGGGCTTGAATTCACAACCCTGAGATCAAGACCTGAGCTGAGATCGAGAGTTAGATGCTTAACCGACTGAGCCACCCAGGCACCCCCTTTTCGTCTTTTTAAACCAGATTCTTAGAGTGGCTCCAGCCTGATCTGTTCTTCACCTCTTTTTGCCAAAGAGGACAACTGCACCCACAGTTATATCTTAGTATTTTGGGAACTTAGTCCTGAAGAGGCCCCACCCTTCCTGGATAAAATGGATTTCCCTCGTGGTGTTTTGTTTTGTTTTTTCCTTTCTTTTGACAAGACAACTTTATGTGTTTGTCTCTTGGGTCTGTCTCCTGACGTAGAGCCGTCTCCTTGCTGACTTACAGTTGGAGATGTTTAAACTGCTTCCTTTGAGGACAAGTTTGAGTTTTAGTAAGCTGTAAAGCTATTTTATTTGGTTCACTGTGATGAAGACAAGCACAAAAACAGGTGAAGAGACAGCGCTTTTCAGTGTAATCCCCTTTGGAATTTTTTCCAAAGTCTTGGTACGTCTTTTTGACACAAAACATGGATGGATGGGTGACTGAAATGTTCCTAGTTGCATAACTGTCACCGTGATCCAAAAATAAATCACTTTTATCCACACCTGGGCTCTCTGTTACCAAATTGTATATCATTTTCTCCCATGGCGGCTTCTCCCCTTAGGCCAAGTTTTCACGTCAAATATTGTGGGTGTGAAAACTGATGTTGTGGCTGCCTTATTTAGTGTTATTCCTCCCTTGGGGGTGAGGAGGCTGGGATCCGCCTTTTCCAGGGGAGGCCCAAGGTGAGAACATGCCTTTGCTGGATGTTCAGCCGGCGGTTACCAAGGACACAGGTTGCTTATCTGTTTGCTAGACTTTTAAAGTCCTCGTTACAGAACCACAAAGCAGTCTCATAAAAGCCGTTCTTCCTGTGTAAACCTGCAGCAGAATCCTTGATTGCTCAGATCTGAGGAGCCTGCTGCTATACCGTGCTTTTGCTGGGGCTGCTTTCCCAGAGGCCTCTGGGCGGCGGTTTGCGGCAGAAACTGCAGAATATCAGGGGTTAAGGGGGTAGAGGCAGGAGAAGCCACTCACGTCATCCTTGCTCCAGGTAAAATGAATCCCAGCCCTCCGGAGTTTACACAGAATTCACGTAGGGGACAATGAGCCAACTGCCCGCTGGCACGGGTACAGCTTCCGTTCTCTAGGAGAACAGTCCCTGTGGGGAGAAGAGCGTGGTGGGGGGGAGGGGAAGAGGCATTAAGGAATGGGTGATGGGGGAGGGGGCTCTGGGAGATGGAACAACTACTTGGAATCACAAATCCCACCGCGAGGGAATGCACAGAGCCAGGCCCAGCTACTTGTGGGGCCCTGTATGGATTTAAAATGCAGGGCCCCCCAGGGGCGCCCGGGTGGCTCCAGCTAAGTATCTGGGGCTCAGGTCGTGATCTCACGGTTCGTGAGTTCGAGCCCCACGTCGGGCTCTGTGCTGACAGCTCGGAGCCTGGAGCCTGCCGCGGATTCTGTGTCTGCCTCTCTCTCTGCCCCTCCCTTGCTCGCACTCTGTGTCTCTCTCTCTCTCTCAAAAATAAATACACGTTAAGAAACAAATTTAAAAAAATGCAGGTACCTGTTCAAACGTGGTCAAGAATGTCAAGACAGCGCAGCATTCAACCAAGCATGGGGTCCTTCTAAGTGGGGGTGCCCCGTGTGCCTGCCTACTGCCCACGAAGCTGCCCGGTGTGGAATTACCAAGTGTGCAAGGGAACATTTTGCATGCCCAGAGTGTCGGAGCCCAAGATATGATGTGCACACTTCATAGCCGGGAAAGGCCACATGTGTCCAGGGAGGGTCTTGGTCCCCCCGGGTCTCCCCCTCAGGGACTGTCTACTGCACCCCCTGAGGACTGACTGAGCGGACCTTCCTTGGTTTTCTCTGCCCACCTCTGACAACAAGGGGCAGAAGAGGAGAAGTTAAGGGTCCTGGGAAACCAGACACCGGACCAGCTCTGTCCGTATGAGTACGAGAAGGCAGTGGGGGTGGGCCCAGCTGGGCAGCGAGTATACTGGTTTGTATTGGGCAAGGCTCTTTGGGTGCGGGCATGGCTTACAAACCAAAGGTCAGGAGGCCAGGGGCGGAGGCGGCTTCGGGATCGGCTGCAATGACGGGCTTGAACCCTGTCTGTCAGAATTCTCTTTGGTTTTCTTCTGCATGTGGATTATTCTCTCCTTCTGAGGTTTTCTCTGCACAGCGAGGCCCACTGTGTTGGCAGACCCAGGCACGTGTCCTTCCAGCTGAAGGACTTTCAGCCTCAGAAAAATCCTGGGAAGAATTGAGTGACCTGACTTGGGTCATGTGCCCAGCACTGAACCAGTCACTGTGAGGTGTTGCCCTAGACGCAGCTGGGTCTCACGGCCCCGTCTGGTTCAGATGAGGGCACGAACTGTGATTGTCAGCTCCCGCCAGACCCCACACAGTTGGGGGGGGGGGGGGGCGGGAGGTTTAAGGGGATGCTGGGCTCTTCCCTCAGATCTGAGAAGCGGGCACGGTGTCCAGGCAGACAGAATGAATGCCAGGCAAAACAACAGCGCTCAAATCTGGACTCTGGGCCAGGGTTTAGGTTGGCCGCACTGTCCTCCACCTCCGGCTTCGGTGGCACCGGAGAAGGGAGCCGCTGTGTGTCTTCTCTTTCTCGCTTAATCGGGAAAAACCTTCCCTCCACAGTCAGCACAGCTCTCTGCGGGAGCAAGTTGGAGGGCCTGCTGCTACAGGGCCTTCGCGATTGTCGTGCGCATCTCGCCACTCCCGGCTTGCAGCCAGATGAGCACTTAGGTGGGAGACTGCCAAAATGCCCCGCAGAGGAGGAGGTGGCTCTTCTGAGTCAAAAGGTGACCTTGTTCCCTTTGACTCACTTCTGAACCGATGCCCTCTAGAACTCAGGAAGCTCTCAGGATCGGAGCGCCCAGCCCAGCCGCTGGCAGCTTCGCTGAAAAGGGGGGGCGGGGGCGGGCCCTGGCCCAGCTTGGTAATTACTTAGCTCCGAGTTCCTGGGGGAACAATGTCACCTCTCTGTCCTTATGGAGGAATGACATACTTAACCCCAATGCCCAGGAACAGGAAAGGTGTGGTAAATAAACAGAAAGGCAAGTGGGCCACAGGGCTCAAAAGCCAGTCGAATGCCGTATATATATCGACTGGCTGGCTGGCTGACGCTGAGTGACACTGAGTGACACTGACTGGGTGGCTGACAAGGTCTGAGTAATCACTCAAATAGGGTTAGTAAACCACAATAGTTGCGACTTTGCCTGCAGTCCAACTTACTCTTGAAAATGGCATCTGTGTTGACTAAAACAAGCCACGCCAAGCCTTACCGATGCCGTTCTTGTTGGGGTAGTGGATGGAGGCTTCTTCCCCCCAAAGGAAGGATGGGAAGCACAGGATGGAAATGAGGTCTCCCTCTTGGCGCCGGTGATTTTTGTTTCCAGCCCGGCCCCCTTTTCCTTTCTCTGAGACTCTCTAGCCCTTGTTTTCTCAAAGCCCCTCCTTCCTACAGAACCACCTTCTCAGTGGTCTTTTGGGGGCCATGTTTCACTTGATTGTATGTAACTCCTCTGCTCTGTCCTCTTTGGTCTCCTGCTCCCACCGCTGCCCTCAAAGCTCTCCGGCCCTCAAAGCCCTCCTCTTTCCCCTTCCTCCATGAAGTCTACCGGGGCCATTCCAGCCCTCGTGACCCGGTCCTCTTCTCGGATTCTTCACCGCTGTCCTTTCCGGGGCTGGACATTTCCCACTGCCCCAGGGCACCCTTGGAAAGATTTTGCTCTGAGTAGTTATTTGCTGTTCATCATTGAACTCTTTCCTTGTATTTGGGCGTGTAGACCATGCACATTTGAGAGGGTTGGGGCTCTTGTCTTTAGCCTTGTCTTTCCATCAGCTCTGAGGCCAGTCAGGACCAGTGAGGTTATGTCGCTGAACCCAAACAGTCCCAGATCCCAATGGCTAGGACCACAGGGTTGTGGTATATTGTGCTCCAGGTCTGCCGTAGGTTAGCCGGGGCTGTGCACGCAGAGACCCAGGCTGAGGGAGGATCTGTCTCCAGCTTCCAAGTGGGCGGAAGAAGAGAACGTTCTCAAAAGGGCACCGATTCTTAAAGCTTCCAAGTAGATGGCAACACCTGTCTGCACGGGGCAGGAGAACGCGATCCTCCTGTGCGTCTGCTTAGGGTAGGCAGAATGGCACCATGATAGTTTGCCTGTGGTGGCCAACAGTGAATTATTTATTGATTGAAAGCCTTGAAGGAAGAAATGAGTTAAATAAAACATGGTACATTCATTTAATGGAATCGTATAAGCCACGAAAATGATATTGCTGGAGGATGTTAATGACATAGAAAACGTTGAGCATAGATTATGAAGTATAAAAGCAGATTATAAAAAAAGAATGTGCCATATTTCTCTTTTATTAAAAACGCATATTATATGGGGCGCCTGGGTGACTCAGTCAGTTAAATGTGTGAGTCTTGATTTTGGCTCAGGTCATGATCTCACTGTTTGTGGGATCGAGCCCCACATGGGGCTCTGTGATGACAGTGCCTGGAATTCTCTCTCTCTCCCTCTCTCTCTGCCCCTCCCCTGCTCACATGCTCTCTCTCACTCTCTCTCAAAATAAAAGAAACATTTAGTAAATGCATATTATACTTCTAGAAAAGAAATTCTCGAAAAGGTCCACAGGTCCAGATGGTGAGATTATGAGGACAGGCAACCTCTCCTCCTTTTGGTCTTTATTTTCTAAATCTTCGCCAGTTGATCGCTTTCATAGCAAGAAAAAAATCTCTTGCTAAACAACCCGGCCTTTTAAAAAGTGGTAAAGTATACATTCATCATAAGGGATGCGGAAAATTCAGGCCCCTTGAACTGACACGTGAAAACACCAAAGTTTAGATCTTTCCAGACCTCTTTCTATGTATGCGTGCATATTTCGTCGAAAGCGAATCCTCACCCGCCAGAGCCTGGAGCGAGCGCATGGGCTGTTGTCAGTGACGTGATGGTGCCCATGAGCATTGTGCTGGTTCCATGGCCAGAAAATCCTGTGCAGGCCCTGGCTCCTGGGAGGGATGAAGGATCCTGGGAGGCACCCCACCCCCACCCCCCCGCCAAAGCTCTATGTCTGCCAGCTCCTGTGGCTGCTCTGTGGAAGGCCCACCACGCGTGGCACCCTGGGTCCCAAACACGTACATTCGGGCTCGTGAGATCGCAGGCAAGGAGGTGGCACTCGCTGTGGAGAATTTGGCCCTGGGGCCTCACGGCCTCGTTGTTTGGGAAAGGAGGAAGATGGACGTTTCCCCATTCTCCGTTTGTGTTCTTTGAGTTGGTTCTGCTCCAGGGAATTTTTTTGGCCAAGGCAAGTTCAAAATAACTCTTCATGATCTGTTTGGTGCAAATGCAAGTTGATTTATGGCTTTGCTGACCTTTGATTCACTGGCAAAGCACTGCCTGGGGCCCTGGGGAGATTTTCCTTTGCTTGTTTACCCGGGGTGATTTAGGAGCTACAGTGCCAAGAAGGTTTTCCTATTTCTTCCACCCCAGGACTTGACCTCGCGGCCCCTGCCCTCAGGGCTCACACCCTGGGGGACTCAGCCTCAGATCGTGTACAGACGGACAGTTAACCTTCAGATGCCCTGGACCATGTTACTCATTCATAGTCTCTGGCTTTTAACCCCTTTCAAGAGGTCCCCAGAGAGGGGTGCCTGGGTGGCTCAGTCGGTTAAGCGTCCAACTCTTGATTTTGGCTCAGGTCATGATCTCACGGTTCGTGAGTTCCAGCCCTGTGTCGGGCTCTGTGCTGACAGTGGGGAGAGCCCCACTGTCCTTCCCCCACTTACTCTATCTCTCAAAATAAATAAATAAACTTAAGAAAAGAAAATAAAAAGTTAAAAAAACCAACAAGACAAAACAGGAGCGCCTGGGGGGCTCAGTCGGTTAAGTGTCCGCCTTCGGCTCAGGTCATGATCTCATAGTTCGTGGGTTCGAGCTCTGGTTCAGGTTCTGTGCTGACAGCTCAGAGCCTGGAGCCTGCTTCGAATTCTGTGTCTCCCTCTCTCTCTGCCCTTCCTTTCCCTGCTCACACTCTGTCTCTCTCTCAAAAATAAATAAACATTAAAAACATATATATGTATGAAGTGTATTTATAGGATGTCTCTTTATTTTTTTAAAGTTTGTTTATTTTGAGGGAGAGAGGTGGGGGGCAGAGAGAGAGAACCCCAAGCAGGCTCTGCAGTGCCAGCATAGAGCCCGACGGGGGGCTCGAACCCACAAACCATGAGACCATGACCCGAACCAAAATCAAGAGTCAGACGCCCAACTGGCTGAGCCACCCAGGTGACCCAGTAAAGCTCTTTAAAAGCAAAAGAAACCTGTAAAGAAAATGTGTTCCCAGAAGAACTGACTCTGGAGGGTTCGAGGTGGACTGGCTCTCACCATGGGCTGGTCCCAGCTTCTCCTTGTCACCTTTGTCTTGTACCAAGCCCAGCAGGAGGCGACCCTGCCCTGTCTGTGCCCCCTGGAATGTGCTGTTCCAATGTGCCCACCTCAGCCTGAGGGGCAGCTGGGGTGGGGGGCGGTCTGTGGAGAGACCACAGGGCTGCTGGGCCCCCCTGTGGAGGGCAGTGGCCTGTCCTGGCTGTTCCACCCTCACTCAAGGAGGGTCCTCTGCCTGCTTCAGAGGTGGGCTGGCGCTGGGCCCCATCCAGGCTCTGGTCTTCTTCCGTCCCCTTCATGGACACCCCGGAGGAGAAATCCCAGACCGTGGCAGCCCCTCCTGTTTGAGTCCCAGCCACCAAAGCCCCAGAGGAGGTCGGCGGGGGGAGACAAGGAGCGGAAAGCCTTAAGTAGGTGCTTCCGGAACAACTGGAAAACGGGAGATGGCGGTGGGGGGTGGGCATGGGAAGCGGAGAGGGGAGAAAGCGGCAACAGAAAAAAGAGAAGGCACGAGAAAGTACCACCTTCCAGTTCTGGCCCTGAGGCAGACCACCGCTGATTTGATACCTACTTGTTTTTACCTAGCATTTTCCACACAGTGTCAGTATCCGTGAAGTCCTGGGGCGATACGTTAGCTACAGTTTCCCCAGGAGACATTGAAATCAATAGGTAACAGAAGCCATTTCTACAGAGACAGAAAGATGAGCGGTTTCCTGGGGCCGGGGGCTTGCTGGGAGAAGAAGGGGATGAGAACTAAAGGCATGGGTTTCGTTGCAGGGTGGTGGAAATGTTCTAAATTCGATTGTGGCGTCGGTTGTACAAGTCTGTACTAAAAAGCATCGAATTGTTCACTTGAAAGGAGTGAATTGTATGGTATGTGAATCATACCTCAATAAAGCCTTTACAAAAGCGAAACGAAAAAGAAAGAAAACAAAGCGCGTCTTTGTGAGGCCTGGATCTCCCTGCACCTCTCGGCCAGGACCGCTTTGGAAATACTTGGCAACGAGAAGTCCGCGGCCCTTTCCAGTTCTGACATCTCGGGGCTCTTGCTGAAGCTGTACCGTGAGCGGGGTGAGTAGGGAGCCGGCGTGTGGCAGTGGAAGGGACCCGACTGCCGCCTGGCTTTTCGAGCTAAGCAAGCAGTGGCCAGCCGTCTAGGAACCGGAGAGAGCTGTGACCCACAACGGTGTTCCTACCACATCGAGGGCTCAAAAGCAGTGACCCAAGGCAGCTGCCAAACATCCGTCAGTATTGCACCACCGAGAAAACATCTGGATTCCAAAGTTGCAGCTGCCCTCGGCCTCAGAGACAGTCAGCCACGAGACCGCTGGACACTTCTGTGGGTCCAGGGCTGGCTCGGTATCGACATCGAGTCAGGAAAAGAAACTGGAGCCTCTCAAAGCCCCTCAGATGGGGCGGGGCTCCTGGGGTGACTCTTATCCAGGTTGCCCGAGACTGGCCCGGTTTTAGCATCGAAAACCCCACACGCCCAGGAAACCCTGTGTTTCGTCCGGACAAACTGGACAGCTGGTCACCCAGATTCCTCACAGACCCCTGAAAGCAAAGGGCCAGGCTGAAAGACTCCTGGAAAGGCCACAAGAACAGCTTTCACTCTCCCTCTGCTCCGATAGCCACAGTGACTGAAAGGAGTCCTGGAGAAGGGAGAGAAGAGGGTCTTACTGTAAGCCTGGCAACCCACTTTCCAGAAACAGAAAACATCAAGAAGCCAGACTTGAGAATCAGGCCCTTGGCCAGGGCAGCGTGGCCACTCCTGGCCTTTGGGGAGGGGTCTCCATCACAGAGCCACCCGTGGGGCCCAGCGGGCACTTGCTTCCTTCAGCTCCCATGCTCACCCTTGAGGGGGGAAACTGTCACTGATTGTGATGTTTAATTTCATATGTCAACTTGACTGGGCGACAGGGTACCCAGATATTTGATCAAATATTTTTCTGAGTGTGCCTGTGAGGGTGTTTCTGGATGAGAATTGGTAGACTGAGTAAAGGGAATCGCTGTCTCGAATGCGGGTGGGCTTCATTTAATCAGGTGAGGGGCCTGAATAGTCCAAAAGGGCTGACCATCCCCTGACTTACAGAGAGTTCTTCCTGCCTGACAGCCTCTGAAGGCATCAGGTCTTCCTGGGTTTCAAGCCTGCCAGTCTTTGGACTATACTTCGGCGCTTCATTTTAGGCTTTTGGACTCAGATTGGAATTAAACCATCGGTGCTCCTGGGCTTGTCAACTCAGCTGCAGATCTTGGGGCTGCTGGTCTCCATTATCATGCAAGCAAATTCTGTATAATCTCTCTCTCTCCTATTGGTTCTTTTTAAAAAATATTTAATGTTTATTATCATTTATTATTTTAATTGTTTTAATGTTTATTTTTGAAAGAGAGAGAGAGGGAGAGAGACTGCGAGCAAGGGGAGGGGGGCAGAGAGAGAGGGAGACACAGAATCTAAAGCAGGTTCCAGGCTCTGAGCTGTCAGCACAGAGCCCCACGTGGGCCTCAATCTCACGAACCAAGAGATCATGATCCAGCGCAAGTCAGACCATTAACCGACTGAGCCACCCAGGCGCCCCCTATTGGTTCTTTTTTTTTTTGAAAAGCCCTAATACACTGATGAGTCCAGCTCTCTCCCTGCCCTACTCAGTCAACGACCTTCAAATGAAGATGTTGATTTTTGGTAATTTTGAAAGACTCAGGCTGGTGATGATGTCAACGCCAAGGCAAGGAAGCAGTCAGTTTCACTAGGGGCTAGTTCTTGTGCCGACTTCACGAATTTATGAATGGCTGTGGCAAGAAAGGCCTGCTCCTCCCCTGGTCTTGCCTGTTGGGGGAGTGGGTACTCAGTATACTCACTGTCCTGTGTGGACGTGTCAGAAATACAGACATCGTTGAGTCCGTTTTGTTCTCAGTCTCAAAGCCTCTGGAGAGCTGGTAACATAAACCCTAAGGTCTTGTGGGGCCTGACATACTGTGAGCTTTAGACACTGACCCCACACAGCTAGCATCACTCACCAACTTGCTCTGAAACAGGAAAGAATACGTGTTCCGACCCCATGCAGTCTTTTTTTTTTTTTTAATTTTTATTCATTTTTTGGTAGAGACAGAGTGTGAGTGGGGGAGGGGCAGACACCGACTCCGAAGCGAGCTCCAGGCACAGAGCCGGGCGCGGGGCTCGAACTCAGGAACCGCGAGATCGCCCAACCGACTGAGCCACCCAGGCGCCCCTCCCGTGCAGTCTTTCTTACCTGACTGCAGAAATAGTTCTTGGCCTGAAATCTCACTTCAAATGTGGGTTTAAGGTGTTCTTTAAAAAAAATTTTTTTTTCAACGTTTATTTATTTTTGGGACAGAGAGAGACAGAGCATGAACGGGCGAGGGGCAGAGAGAGAGGGAGACACAGAATCGGAAACAGGCTCCAGGCTCTGAGCCATCAGCCCAGAGCCTGACGCGGGGCTCGAACTCACGGACCGCGAGATCGTGACCTGGCTGAAGTCGGACGCTTAACCGACTGCGCCACCCAGGCGCCCCTAAGGTGTTCTTTTTAGAGGACTTCAGACACTGCCAGGACGCCGGGAGCAACCTTTTTCAGGACGCAAAGCTCGGTGCCCTTAATTCCCGGAAGAGGAGGAAAAGCACAATCTCTGAACTAGGTTAGGTCTTCTGGGGAGTGTTCATCGGCTTCAGCTCACTGAGAAGGGAGTTGGCCAAATATAAAATTCCCCAGTCTGAATCCTTCTCTTTCTTGTAAGAGCAGCTGGAAGACAAGCCACCCAGCTTAGTGACCCCCCACCTCCCCACCTCGGCTCCCCAGACTTTCAGACCCAGGAGCGCACACAAGTACCGATCCTGACCATTAGGTGTCACTGTTGTACACGACATGGACTGACCTGGGCTCCGGACGATTGACCGCGCTCCAACTTGATCCGCCTTTCGATTTCTGCATGACCGTGGGGTTCCCCAAAGTCTAGCGGTGCCCAGCCTGAGTCCAGTAACCAGTCAACAGTTGACACAAAGTACAGGTAAAGCCCACCTGGGCTTTGCACTCTGGCAGTTACAGCTCTTTGTGATGGAGGATGTAAAAGCAGTCGGTATGGTGAGCAGCCGGAAGGGCAAATAAAAATATTTTTTACCGTTGCATTTAAAAATTCATAATAAACTATGTCAAATGTACAGGAAAATTAGAGGACATTACAAGAAACCCTTGAACTGAATTGCCATGTCTGCTTCAGTGTTTTGCTTTGTTTTATATATGTATTCACAAACATTGTAGAGCATCGTTCTGTGTGTTTTCAAATTTTATGTAAACATTCCCATTTCTATTACATCATTTTGCAAGTTGCTTTTACCACCTCAACCATTATTTTTCGTTTTGGGGGTTTATTACTGTCGCTGTAAGTAGCTCTGATTTATTTATTTGAACCACTGTATTGTATTCCATTGAATCTCTACAACAATCAGTTTATAAAATCATTGGCTATTTCCAATTTTGTTATTACTGCAGGTAAGGCTGAAATGACAATTTAAAAACAACTTTATTTAGGTATAACTTACATACCACAGAGTTTACCCACTTTATTAAAGTATACAATTCAATGGCTTTCAGTGAATTTACTAAGTTGTGCAACCATGACCACAGTCAAGTTTCAAACGTTTCTATCACTCCCGTGGGACCCTAGAGCCCATTTACAGGTACTAACCCATTTTCTCTGCAATGACTGTTCTCACACAGGTCTCTGTGTTCATGTGCGAGAGAATCTTTCTCTTTCCACCTAAGAGTGGAATTTAAAAGGCCATGGACATACACATTTCAATTCTCAAATTCTGCCTCATTTCACGTTGTGTGGTTGAAACAATTTCCACTTTTAAAGCAGTGATGTGTATGGGGCGCCTCAGTGGCTCATCCGGTTAACCGGCGACTTCGGCTCAGGTCATGATCTTATGGTTCGTGGATTCGGGTTATGATCTCACGGTTTGTGGGTTGGAGCCCCACGTCGGGCTCTGTGCTGACAGCTCAGAGCCTGGAGCCTGCTTCGGATTCTGTGTCTCCCTCTCTCTTTGTTCCTTCCCCGCTCGTGCTCTCTCTCTCTCTCAAAAATAAATATTAAAAAAAGAAAATAAAATAAATTCTCTCTTCTTTTTAAAAAAGGAATAAAGCAGTGATGTGTAGACATCTTCTTTGGCCACATTATTAACATACTTCTTTTGTCCTTTTCTTTAGTTTTGTTCTTTTCCTTGCCAATCTGATTTTAACCACATTGTTGCTTCAATTTGCACTTTCCTAATTTCTTTTTTTTTTAAGTTATTTATTTATTTTGAGAGGAGGGGAAGAGGCAGAGGGAGAGAGAGAATCAATCCCAAGCAGGTTCCGTGCCGTCAGGGCAGAGCCCGACATGGGGCTCAATCTCACCAACCCATGAGATCATGACCTGAGCCGAAATCGAGAGTTGGACACTTAACCGACCTAGCCACCCAGGCGCCCTTTCCTAACTTCTATCTGTTGATGTTTGTTGGCTATTTGGGTTTCCTCTTCTGTGAATTGCCTATTAATGCCCTTTGCTCATCTTCTAATGTATTACCTTTTCCCTATCGATTCGTAGCAGTCTCTTATGTATACTGGGTAATAATTTCTGTTTTCAGTTATACACTTTGGAAATATCATCTCCCAGTCTGTGGTTTATTTAAACTCTAGGGATTTCTGAACAGAAGTTATAAATTTTTATGCAGCCAAGTAATCAACAATTTCTTAGTGGTTTGTGCTTTTCATGTCTTAGGAGAAGTATTTCCCCATCGCAAGGTTACAAAAATATTCTTTTGTATTTTCTTCTGAAAGTTTTAAAGTTTCATATTTCACTTTAGGTCTTTAATCTACCTGTAGCTTGTTGTTGTGTGTGGTGAGGAATTGTTTTCTCCAAGTGGACATGCTATTCCTCTACCAAGCCCCATCCTGTGTCACCTGTTCATCTGAGCCTGTTGCTAACACCACAGCATCTCGGTTACTATAGCTTTAGAGCGAGTCTTGATATTTGGAGTGTGACCAAGCTCGATGAGGGCAGGAATTGCTGACTGTTCTGTTAACTGCTCTGTTCCCATCGCTTCAAGCTAGAGTACACAGTGTGTGCTTCCCATTTGTTGAATAAAGAAATGAGTGGATATATAGTAGGGCATGTCTCTTCTCTCCTTTTTTTCTTTTTCTTTAGGAGAGTCTTGGCTGTACTTGGTCCTTACTTGTTCTGGATAATGTTAGGATCAGCTGGGCAAGTTCTACAAAACACGTTACTGGACATTTTAGTAGAATTGTTTTGAGCTTAGAGACTAATTTGTGGGAAATTGACATCTTTATAATCCTGAATCTTCCCAGCTAGGAACGTGGCATATCTCTAGACTTATTTAGGTTGTCTTTATTTTCTTTAGTAGTGATTTGAGATTTTTCTCTACAAAGGTATGCATGCATATGTTATTGAAATCATTCCTTGGTGCCTTGTAGTTTTTGTTGTTATTATGAACTGGTTCTTTTTTCTTTACACTTTCCTACAGTTTTTCATTGGTGTTATTTATTTTTGTATGAACAAATCTTGAATTTCCTGAATGTTTTATCTACATCTACGAAGATGATTACATTTTCCCTTTTTATCTATTAATATACATTTCTAATTTTTTAATGTTGAGCCATCTTTGCATATGGGAAAGGCCAGTTGATTTTCTCCATTAGTGCTTACCAACAGAAGTTTCTGTGATGATGGGAATGTTCTGGTCTGTCCAAGAGAGTAGTCATTACACATAGGTGGCTATTGAGCATTTGAAATGTGGCTACTGTGACTGAGGAATTGAACTTCAAATGTTTATTTATTTTGAAAGAGAAAGAGAGTGCAAGTGGGGGAAGGGTGGAGAGAGAGGGGGAGAGAGAATCCCAGGCAGGCTGTGCACAGTCAGCACAGAATTTGACACGAACTGTGAGATCATGACCTCAGCCAATGTCAAGAGTTGGATGCTTAAACTGGCTGAGCCACTCAAGTGCCCCAGCACAGAACTTCAATTTTTACTTAATTTAATTATAAATTTAAGTAGCCACCCATGGCTCTGGTTGCTGTACAATGTCCAGCTGTGTGTAGTGCTGGCCTGGCATGTAGCTTTGGGTTTATCTTCTCTGTCCTCCTCGCTTGAATGGGCTCTTCCGGAAATGGGATAAACAATGCAAGATTATGGCTTTCCTTAGGGAAATGATAAAAAAGCAACTGAAGCTGAACCCAAATCATGATGCAGTGAAAAAGTCACATGATGGCTGGAAAAGCCACCACCCCAGGCTTTCCCGCTCTGTGCTCCTTCTCGTGAGCAGGGGACTCGTGCCCAACCTCACGATAACCGCACGATGCGCACATCCACTGAAGATGCCTAACATTGATTTTCCTCTGGAAAATAATGTGCGTGTACACTGCATTATGAAAGAAATACATACTCATTATAGAAAACACAGGAGACGCTAGAAAATCAAGGAAAAGATCAACTGTTTAACATTTTGGTGTATTTCCTTCTGATACGCTTTCAACATACAAATTTTTGTTACTGTTGGTTTGCAGATGTATAGTTGAGATCATTCTCCAGATATGATTTAAAATTCTGGATTTTTCTCCTTATAAAATTATAACATGAGCCTTTCCTCAGCTTACCATGATCTTTGTAAACGTCACTGGTTAGAACGATATCATAACTTCCATATACAATTTACTGAACATTATTTATTTCTTTTTTGCCAGAAGTATATATAAGTGTCTTTGGCTTAAAGCTCTTTCACCATTTCAAAAAAAATGTTTTTTAACATTTATTTAGTTTTGAGAGGCTGAGACAGAGCGTGAGTGGGGGAGGGGCAGAGAGAGAGGGAGACACAGAATCCCAAGCAGGCTCCAGGCTCTGAGCTGTCAACACAGAGCCCGATGCGGGGCTCGAACCCACAAACCGTGAGATCACGACCTGAGCCGAAGTCGGATGCTCAGCCGACTGAGCCACCCAGGCACCCCACTTTTTCACCTTTTCAGAATTTACCCCTAGTGGAATTACTGGAGGCAAGCAAAGTAATTGATATTGGAAGCCCTGCTATGCCTATTGTCAAATTGCTTTCCAAAAAGGCAGGTGAATTTATATCCTCCCCAGAATGCGCGAGGGCCTGACTTAATCACCTCCACCAGCAAGAACTGATTAGAAACAAAACTG